CCTGCGCTGCATCGAGTCCAACATGCTGACCGACATGACCCTGCAGGGCATCGAGCAGATCAGCAAGGTCAGCGTGCCCCTTCCCCCAGCGCCCCCCGCCCCCCGCCGCCCCCTCTCCCCGCCGCTCACGCCCTCCCCTGCAGGTGTACATGCACCTGCCGCAGACAGACAACAAGAAGAAGATCATCATCACAGAGGACGGGGAGTTCAAGGCCCTGCAGGAGTGGATCCTGGAGACGGACGGCGTGAGCCTGATGCGGGTGCTGAGCGAGAAGGACGTGGACCCCGTGCGCACCACGTCCAACGACATCGTGGAGATCTTCACGGTGAGCCCCCGACGCGCCACTGCCCCGCTCTCTTCCCGGGATCCCGGGTGTCCGACCGGAAGCGGCCCCCGCCTTCTGTCTGGGCGTTCGCTCACTCACGTTTGTCCAAAGCTGAGTCCCACATTGGGTGTGGGCGGCTGCGACCCCTGACTGTCCCTCCGCGGGTCCGGGTGGCAGGAGGAGCTGGGGGAGAGCAGAGCTCCTCGGTCTTGTCCCATCACTCCGCCCGCCCTGCCGTGCCAGGTGCTGGGCATTGAAGCCGTGCGGAAGGCTCTGGAGCGGGAGCTGTACCACGTCATCTCCTTTGACGGTTCCTACGTCAATTACCGCCACTTGGCTCTGCTGTGTGACACCATGACCTGTCGCGGCCACCTGATGGCCATCACCCGACATGGGGTCAACCGCCAGGATACCGGGCCTCTCATGAAATGCTCCTTTGAGGAAACGGTAACGATGGAGCGGGGGGGGGGAAGGATGGAGAGGGGGCGGGGAGTGCTGTAGGAAGACAGGGTACGCCAGAGTGACCTGGGCAGTGGCCCCTCGGAGCACGGGGTGCGGCGCTGTCTCACGGGCCCCCCGTCGGCCGGTCGTGCAGGTGGACGTGCTGATGGAGGCCGCCGCGCACGGAGAAAGCGACCCCATGAAGGGGGTGTCGGAGAACATCATGCTGGGCCAGCTCGCACCAGCCGGCACCGGCTGCTTCGACCTCCTGCTCGACGCCGAGAAGTGCAAGTACGGCATGGAGATCCCCACCAACATCCCCGGCTTGGGGGCCGCCGGACGTGAGTAGCTGGGCCCCTGCTGCCCAGACCTGGCCAGGGGGCGGGGGTGGGGAGGCCGGTCCCCGGGCGCGGTGCTCAGGAGTCCCCCTGCTTCTCCGCAGCCACTGGCATGTTCTTCGGCTCGGCGCCCAGCCCCATGGGAGGGATTTCTCCGGCCATGACGCCCTGGAACCAGGGCGCAACCCCGGCCTATGGCGCCTGGTCCCCCAGTGTCGGTGAGTGACCCGGCCCGTGAGGAAGGGCCTCTGTCTGGGTCGTCAGAGGCGGGTGGGCTGTGGGGTGAGATGGTGCCCCACCAGGGAGCTCTGGGGACGCCGCTAGGCTCCAGCTCTGGTTTGAACTCCTGTTGCGCTTCACAGGGAGTGGAATGACCCCGGGGGCAGCCGGCTTCTCCCCCAGCGCTGCCTCCGACGCCAGCGGCTTCAGCCCCGGCTACTCGCCCGCCTGGTCTCCCACGCCGGGCTCCCCGGGCTCACCCGGCCCCTCCAGCCCGTACATCCCCTCGCCAGGTGAGCTGTCCCTGTCGGTCAGGGTCAAGTTCCTTCCTCCCCAATCCTTCCTTTGGGGTGACTTTCCATCACTGAACTCCTGGCTTTTTCCCCCACAGGTGGTGCTATGTCTCCCAGCTACTCCCCGACATCACCTGCCTATGAGCCTCGCTCCCCTGGAGGTTATACGCCTCAGAGTCCCTCTTACTCCCCCACCTCACCTTCCTACTCCCCTACCTCTCCATCCTACTCTCCAACCAGTCCCAACTACAGCCCCACATCACCTAGCTACTCCCCGACCTCGCCCAGCTACTCCCCAACCTCTCCCAGCTACTCCCCAACCTCTCCCAGCTACTCCCCAACCTCTCCCAGCTACTCAAGAACCCCCCCCCCCCCGCCCTCAGGAAGGTTCCAGGGAAGAACCCCACTCCCACTCCAGCCAGGTCACAAGGGCTAGAGCTCCGAAGGGCCCAGGGCCCCTGAGCCAGGAGTAGAGGAGGAAGTCCAAGGAAAGATGGTGAGTGTGGGGGTCATGGGGGCATGGCCCCCTTCCCAGAGCTCCTGGCTGCTCCCTTTTGTCTCTTCCCCTCAAACTTTCCCAGCTGTCCTGGAGACTCCCACAAATGAAACTCACAATGGTATACCCGGGCGTCCGCGGAACCTGTGACATCACACCAACGCCCAGCATCTGAGGCTGCCTTCCCGTCCCCAAACCAACAGAGCCCCCCTGGGTCCCTTTTCTTCTCCTCGGAACAGCTTACCCAGAGAAAAACGATACTTGGAGACCGCTTACCCCCTGCTTCCTGCTTTAGAGGCCCCTGGCCCACACTGTACCCCTTCATCCAGTTTCGGGCCCTTTCTAGCTCCCGAGGGTTCTCAGCAAGACAGCCCGACCCCGCTACTGTCCCTTGAGGTCGCAGACCCCACCCTGACATTCACCCCACCCCCTGCTCCCCGGGGCTACGGCTGCCCTAATGCCCCAGCTCCTTTCTCCCCCACAGGCTGGCAATCACCCTTACTTCAACCTGCCCGACTTCACCCAGCCATCGCCGCCCTCCACTCCGGCCAGTCTCCCCCCGCACCAGCGCTGCCGGCCCTCTGATGCCACCAAGGGCCTGCTCGTGGCCCTGCTGGGTGGGGGCCTGCCTGCTGGCTTTGTGGGCCCCTTCTCCCGCATGGCTTACCAGGCCTCCCGCTTACCCTCGCTGGAGCTGCTCATCTGTCGCTGTCTCTTTCACCTCCCCATTGCCCTGCTACTGAAAGTGCGTGGTGACCCCCTGTTGGGACCTCCCGATGTCCGGGGCCGGGCCTGCCTCCATGCCCTGCTCAACGTCCTCAGCATTGGGTGCGCCTACAGCGCGGTTCAGGTGGTGCCTGCTGGTAACGCAGCCACGGTCCGCAAGGGCTCGTCCACCGTCTGCTCCGCCCTCCTCGCCCTCTGCCTCGAGAGTCAGGGTCTCAGCGGCTACGACTGGTGTGGTCTGTTGGGCAGCACCCTGGGACTCATCATCATTGTGGGACCTGGACTAGGGACGCTGCAGGAGGGGACCACGGGCCTCTACACCGCCCTGGGCTACGTGCTCGCATTCCTGGGCGGCCTGGCACTGTCGCTGGGGCTCCTGGTCTATCGTTCCCTGGACTTCCCCTCTTGCCTGCCAACAGTGGCCTTCCTGTTTGGCTTGGTGGGGCTGGTGGGCTCGGTGCCAGGCCTCTTCATACTGCAGACCCCTGTGCTGCCCAGCGATCCTCTGAGTTGGAGCTGTGTGGGGGCCGTGGGGATCCTCGCCCTGGTCTCCTTTGTGTGCGTGAGCTATGCAGTCACGAAAGCCCACCCTGCCCTGGTGTGCGCCGTCCTGCACTCCGAGGTGGTGGTGGCCTTGATGCTGCAGTATTACGTGCTCTATGAGACCGTGGCGCCTTCTGACATCATGGGGGCAGGCGTGGTGTTGGGCAGCATCGCCATCATCACCGCCCAGAACCTCAGCTGTGAGAGGGAGGGGCAGGTGGAGGAGTGAGATCCGACCGGAGAGCCTGGGGGTTGGGGGGGCAGGGGGAAATAGGAGGAGGAGAGACTGGAATACAAACATGGGAGAAGCAGCGACCGGAAAAGAGCTGATACCGGAGAGGGACACCCCTTGGAGTCAGGGGTGGAGAGGGGCTCTTCCTAGATTTGGAACAAGCGTGGGGACCAAAACACGTGATGTCTAGGCTGGGGCTTGGGGATCAGGGCATAACTACAGGGCAAGTGAGGTCGAAGGAGCCAACGGAGGGGCTGAGAGGTAGGCCCGCCATGAGCCATGGGGAGGATTTTTCCCTCAGCAGCAGAAAGAGCATTGGGGCTGGAGTGTTTGGCGGGGGGGTTTCAGGCAAAGGGACAGAGCGAGCAGCTGGGGTCAGGGAGTGTGCCTCCCCCCCACCACGAGACACGGTTTCCTTCCCTCATGGTTATGCCTCCTCCCCCTCCCCCCCCGCGTGGTGACGTGACATTGACATCAAACAAGGATCACTCTGAATGTGGCTGTGCAGTTGGTGTCATCTCTGCTTTGGAAGGAGAGTGAAAGTCCTACTCCGCTCTCATTGGAGAATCCCTTGGGATCCCTGCCCCCCTCCCCCCGCCAATCTGGTTTCTGAAATATTCTGGAAGGGGGTAGGATTTCCTAACGTTCAGACGCCTTGACCCTGAATCCCCCAGGACTTCTGTGTCCCGCCCCGTGGCTAATCTGCTTTTCCTGGATTGTCGCGGTCCCGTGATGTCTCCCGGACAGTGGCCAGCCTCCTTCCGGAGAAGGTCCCCTGAGCGGCTCGGGCCGGGGGCTCCCGGGCCAGAGTTCCGTACAGCGCTCCTTGGGAGGCCGCTCGACAAATACCAGCTACTTCCGGACAAGCGATTGGCCTCGCCATCTTGATCGGTTCATGCATATTCAGCGTGGATACTGCATATTCATGACCAAGAACGGCCCCCGGCGCTCTCCCCCCCCACCGAACCCTCTTGGGAGGATCCGGCCGGCCCCGCCTCCTTCATTACCGACTCGCAGAACAGACCATTTTCCAGCGGAGGGAAGGGGGGGGAAATATTCATGGGAGACTTCTGCTGAGGACGAAAGCACGGTCCAAACTAGAATAAAAGTGGCCTGTATTCCACCTTGGTTCTTTAAACTTAAATCTCAGGGCGGGAGGGAGCAGAGCGGGCAGGCGGCGGGGTAAAGCACGTTCCCCTCCCCCGCGTCCCTTCTAAAGGTCGCCCAACCAGGGAGCCGAGGAGGGCCCACAAACGACTCGGGAGCGCGCTCCGTGCAGGCCGGCGCAGGCGACCCCGTAGCGCAAGGGAGGGCGGGAAAGGAAGGGGCGGGGATGTAGGGGCGAGTCTATAAAGGGCGTCATTCGGCCAGCTCGCTCTTCAGAAGCGCCGAGAGCGCGGCCGGGACGGTTGGAGAAGAAGGCGGCTCCCGGAAGGGGGAGAGACAAACTGCCGTAACCTCTGCCGTTCAGGAGCCCGGTTACTTATTTATTCGTTACCCTTTTTCTCCTTCCTCCCCCCGAAACCTTTTCCTTCCCCCCCCCTTTCTTTTTTTTCCTTTTTGGGAGACGAAAAATCTCCGGAAAGGGGGAGGAGAGCGCCTTTCGCTCCTTTTTCACTTCCCCGCCTCCTTCCCTCCCCCACCTCTCCCTCCTCCGCCTTTTTCCTCCCAACTCGGGGAGGTCCTTCCCGGCGGCCGCCCCGACGGGGTCTGAGCACCTAGGCGGAGGCGGCGCAGGGTTTTTGTAGAGAGGTTTGCGCCTGCGCAGCGCGCCGGCCTCCGCGATGCACGGGGGTGGCCCCCCCTCCGGGGACAGCGCATGCCCGCTGCGCACCATCAAGCGAGTGCAGTTCGGAGTCCTCAGTCCGGATGAACTGGTAAGCGGCCATGCCCTCTGCTCCCTGCCGCGGTGCGGGCGGGGCCCGACGGTGGCCGCCAGGGGGACGGGCCGGCGGAGCCTAGTGTCGCGAGGATGTGAGCGAGCTCGGCGCTGGGTCCGGGACGGGGGCCGGGCCGCCGCCGCCGGCGGGGGGCGGAGATCGGGGCCCCGACGCCGAACGACAGTTGATCAGCCCGGGGCTGGGGTGGCGGGGCGCTGTGCAAGTTCGGATGCGAAGCTGGACCCCACATCTTTGTTCCCCCGCCCCCTTCCACCACTATTCACTGAACGCCCGCTGTGTGATAGACCTGACAGATACTGAGGTCGCAGAGCCGGAGGAGTCGCAGGAGGACCCTGCCTTCCACTGGCAGTGTCCGTGGGAGGGGGCGGCCGACAGTCAACATACAAATAAAGGAGCAAACCAGACAGCTGAGTTCTTGGCTAATGCTTTGGATGGAGGGAAGGGGAGTTAGGAGTGAGGCTCCTGTGGGCCGAGTGATGTCAGGGTGCGGGAAGACCCTTCTGGGGAGGTGGTTCTTCCTGGATGAAGAGGAGGCAGCCAGGTCTCTGGGCCACAGATCCCAGACCGAGAGCTTGTCAGACGCCAGGTGCAAAGGGCCGGAGGGAGCCATGAACTTGGTGTGTCCCAGGGGCGGGAAGAAGTGCCAGTGCGACTGGGGTTTAGAAGGGTGAGGAGAGTTAGCAAAACGGGCTGGAGAGACATGAGAGTGGGCAGGCCTGGTGGAATGTTGTAAGTCATAGTAAGGAACCTGAGTTTAATTTCATTTTGAAGATGAAGCCTTTTGTAAGCCGGAGAGTGATCTCAAGTTTACATTAAAAACAGAACAAAACTAGTAGTGCTTTGGTTGCCCTCTGAAAAGCTGATTGTGGGGGAAGGCTAAGGAGGAGGGTGGGAGAGATCAGGGTGGAGGGGGTTTTGGGGGAGAGCTGCTGGTGACTCGGACTCCTTTGTGGAGTGAGCTGGCAGAAGCCAGGTGTCTGGGGAGAATGGCCGCATTTGTGGATGGAGACCCTTTTGCTGGAGGACAAGGCATAGCCGCTTGAGACTTACGTCAGGAGTTGGAGCCTCCTGAGCTCACATCATACCAAACCATAAATTCCAGGTGCGGTTAAGCTTTAAATCCAAAAAGCAAAACTGCAGAGCTCCAGCGCAGTAGAGAAGGCTTGTGGGGGCTGATTCCAGGGGCAGAACCCCTTGGTGGGAATGAATGAATGAATGAATTAGCGGTAAATTTTGAGTGCCTATCATGTGGCCAGGCACTGAGCGAAGCGTTTTTTTCTAAGATTTTAAGTAATCTCTGCACCATAACAAGAGCCCGAACTCACAACGTGGAGATCAGGAGTCACATGCCCCTCCGACCGAGCCAGTCAGAAGCCCCAGCATTTTGTATACAAGGAAGAACAGGGCACGTTTCACTGTGTAAAAATAAGAGCCACTTGTTTTTTTCAGGGGCACCATGGACGCCTAAGAGACAGATTGGGAAGCGGTATTTGCACTGTGATAGTCAAGGTTAGGTTTCTTGATACACAGGGACCACTTACAAATCAGTAGGAAAAGCACACACCTAGACAAACAGATAAAGGATACAAATCAGCAGCTCCCAGAAGTTACAAATGGCCAATAAAAAAATACTAATAAAGACATGCAAATTAAAGTTTTTTCCTTTATCTGATTTTTCTCCGCTGGCCAAAGTATTGGTAAGTAGGCATGCTTACATATGGTTGGTAGCGGGTTAAACTGTTAACAGCCTTTTTGGGGGACAGTCTGACAGTTCTGTCCATCGTTTGATGTTTGTTCTTTGGTCGAGCATTACCGCTTCTAAAATTTTGTCCTTAAAGAAAAAGCTCTGAATTTTTCCTCTCAAGCATGCCCTTCCCCGGGTCTTGCCTGGTTTAGCAAGCACACAGTGGCCATACCATTCCCCCGCTAACTCAGGCCAGACACCTGAAAGGCATCTTTGCTACTTCTCACAACTTCCCCTTGGTCCATCTGTCAGTCTGTCAGCTCTGCCTTTCAAACGCGCCTGGAATCTGGCCATTTATGATCATCTCCATCTGGACCACCTTGTTCCAGCCCACCATCCTCTTTGCCATGAGCACTGCAGTAGCCCTAGCCCTTACCTGTTCCTTCCGCTGTTCGCAGAGCTGCTAGAGAGCTCTTTTTTATCGTGTCTCGCCGGAATGGAATCCTCTCAGAGGATCCACACTGCTTACTCGGAGCTGTAGTGAGGTCCTGGCTAATCCAGCCCCGCTTGCCTCTCCAGCTCATTACCTCTTTGGGTCTTTAAGCACAAGACCTGCCTGTTCTTCCAACCCCACGAGTTCGGTCCTGCCTCAAGGACTTTATTACTCCCTGTTCCTGCTGCCTAGCACAGCATTGCCCAGACCTACCCAGGCTTACTCCTTTTTGTCCTATCGTTAGCATGGTTGTCCTGAGCACCCTGTTTAAATAGCATCCCCCCTGCATCCTGTAACCCCTGGTCTTAATTTTAAGTAATCTCTACACCTTGTTGGGTTCCAACTTACAACCCCAGGATCAAGAGTTGCATGCTTGGGGCGCCTCGGCAGCTCCATCCTTAAGCCTCTGCCTTCAGCTCAGGTCATGGTCCCAGGGTCCTGGGATCAAGTCCCACATCAGGCTCCTGGTCAGCAGGGAGCCTGCTTCTCCCTCTCCCACTCCCCTGCTTGTGTTCCCTCTCTCCCTCTGTCTCTCTCTGTAAAATAAATTAAAAATCTTAAAAAAAAAAAAAAAAATGTTGCGTACTCTTCTGACCGAGCCCATGGGGAGACCCCTGACCCGTCTTGACTTTATTTTACTGCGTAGTTTGGCTTGTCTGAGAGGATCTGTTTTTCTGTTTCTTGCTCTCTCAGGAGAATGTAAATTTCACGAGGGACCCTGTGCTCACCTCTGTAATTTCAGGATTTCAAAGTGTGCCTGGTACATAATCAGGGTGTAATGAGAATGAGTTAAATTAGTGAGTGAAGGAAGTAATTGGAAAGGACACAAAGATATGTGTAGAAGGGTTTTCATCACAATATTGTTTGGATATGATACTGCTTGAAATTATAAATTGTCTCCATATTTACTGATACGAGTTCTGTGGAGTTACCTCGGGGTGTGCTCTTAGACTAGAACAGATCTTCCCAACAGGCTAAGTCCCCTGTTCCCAGACCGTGCTGTGCCCCCGCAGCAGGCTGTCGGCCCAGAGAGAGATTTTAAGTTTTCAAGAGAAGTACAAGGTGAGCTACGGTTGGTCCGCTGTCCTGGGTACTGGGAGTTCCTGATAGTCTCCTTTCGACATTAGGTGGCGACAAACCCCTTTCGGTGACGTCATTATCGCGGGGAAGCTGGGTCTTTAGCAGTTCCCAAACACAGGACAAAAAAGTCGAGTGGTGGAGCGCCTGGGTGGCTCAGTGGGTTGGGCCTCTGCCTTCGGCTCAGGTCATGATCCCAGGGTCCTGGGATCGAGCCCCACATCGGGCTCTCTGCTCCCCGGGGAGCCTGCTTCCTCCTCTCTCTCTCTGCCTGCCTCTCTGCCTGCTTGTGATCTCTGTCAGATAAATAAATAAAATCTTAAAAAAAAAAAAAAATCAGAGTGGTGCTGTCCCCTCGGATTCCAAGATCTGCCAGGTTGTACCCGGCCTGACAGGTGTCAGAAGTACCATTGTGGTTATTTGGGAAATAAAAGCAATATTTCTTTAACATATTGCAATCTCTATTTACGGGTGTTTTCGTAGATGGTTACGAAGTGGTAGGGGACATAGGTATTTGTTAAGTCGTTTGGCCCTGGACCCCGGGAGTGCTGGGAAAGTTGCTGACGCACTTGAGCCCCCAAGGGCACTGTGAACCCAAGTTCAGGGATCTGAGAAGGAAGTTACCAGGATGCAGAGTGAGGCCCTGTTTTTGGAAGAGTGAGAGCGTGTCTGCATTTTACAAACCCCGTGGCTGGCTGTTCACAAAACAGAGGCCGCCTCTGGTGGGGGTGCGGGGGGGGCTTTAATTTCTCCCTGCAGTGTTCGCAGCTGGGACAGCTCACCTGTGTCTGAGAGAAGAATAGATCGCTCCGGTGTGCGTAGGAGGGTCGGTGGGGGGCCTCTTGTGGTACAGGCGGTGTTTAAGAGTCCTGCGTTCTAGAAGTCGTGGGGAGGGTGTGTGTCAAGTCCTGAGGGCCCTTGGAATTCACTGCAAGACGGAGCTATGGCCTCTGCTGTTGTGTGGTTTGGATGTTGCGGAGTCCCGAGGGGGAGGCAGCTCGGGAGGGTCCCGCACTCAGGCTCCATGCAGAGCTGCTAGGAAGTCAGCAGAGCAGGGAGCCGGCCATGCTGGAAGAAGTTGGCTCCTGTTCCTTAAACAGCAATTGTCTACCGTGAATAGCACCAGATTATTTATTTATGTCCTAGTTTATTCCAAGAAGAATTTAGAACATGCTATATCCTTCTAGATGTGCCCTATGTTGGTGGACCAGAAGCTTATTCTTATCTTCAAGTTATTTATAATCGGGGGCAGGGGGCTGGGGGTCTCGGTCGCTTAAGCGACTGCCTTCGGCTCAGGTCATGTTCCTAGGGTTGTGGGATTAAGTCCCTCGTTGGGCTCCTTGTTCAGCAGGGAGCCTGCTTCAACCTCTGCCTGCTGCTCCCCTGCCTGCTCCGTCTCTCTCTCTCTCAAACAAATAAATAAATCTTAAAAAAAAAAAAAAAAAGGATTAAGGGTGGGATTTCCTGCACACAGTACAAGTGTTTACTGGCACGGTGCTAGGTGCTGATAGAAAGCGAAGGAAACCTGATCCTTGCCCTCGAGGGTTGCAGTCCAGTGGGAGAGACAGACAAGTAAACAGGAACGGCCTGGCCGAGAGCCCTGCTGGTGTGTGGGGTGGGACGGCTCTCCATCCCAGGACTCTGGGTTGTGCCCTGCACCAAAGGCAGACTCTTATCTGAGCCACCCCAGGTGCCCTTAAGATTTTATTCTTCAGTAATCTCTACGCCCAGCGTGGGGCTTGGACTCAGGACTCCAAGGTCAAGTCACACGCTCCACCCCTGAGCCAGCCAGCTGCCCCTAAAGAGAAAGAATATTTGCTAAGAATCTGTGGCAGGCATCTGTCCTGCAGTCTCGGGCAGCCCCTGGGAGCAGCCGCCCCTCAGGACGCTAACCCTTGTCAGACGACACCAGGAGCCTGACCCCTCTCACACGGGTAGCGAGAGGAAGGGTTGGGGGCTGACATGGTTTGTATATAATCTGAAGTGACAGTTTGTTACCTTGTGGTAGGGAGAGAGTCCAGAACCTTCCAGGACAGCTCCTGGCCCCATCTTGATGCCTGGAAGCAGAAGAGTCCTTAGCAGGTGGGTGGCTTGGTGGGCACAGCCGTCCCTCTTTTCTCCAGGCTCTCTGAAGGCGCTTCCCGGCAGCCGGGGGCCCTGGCAGTTGAGATCAGTGTAACAGACAGTCACCAGGAGCTGTGGGACCTGGGAGGACAGGGAGATGCTGGTACTCTCCAGGGAGGCAGTGGTGGAGGGTTAGGGAAGCACAGAGGCGCTTGTTTTTGTCCTGCTGTCCTGCCGAGCTCGGATGTCATGCTGAGCGCAGGAGGGTGTGAAGACTGGATTTCCCTGTAGAAGGCGCCCCAGCTGTGCAGGTGGGTGGAGAGAGACAGGTTGGCCGCCTGGGGAGCCCCTGATGCCAGCCCACCGGAAGTCCTGGCCTGAGGCAAGTGGCTGGAGGCTCCGAGGCTGGTGGGAGGCGCAGACAGCTGTGCCAGGTGCTGGGGCAAGATCGGATCAGGCCGGGTGTTTTCCTGAGCGCCTGTCGAGTCCTGAGCTTAAGCACGTCCGCGACATTACATGGTCCCGCGTGACAGAGCTGGGATGGTGGACCAGAGGCCTCCAGCTCCAGGACACGCCCGGGTAACCGGTCTGTCTGTTAGAGCGAGCGGGCGCGAGGAGGGGTGCGGGAGAGGGAGAAGCAGAGCCCCCGCTGAGCAGGGAGCCCGCCGCGGGGCTCTAACCCAGGACCTGCAGATGATGACCTGAGCTGAAGGCAGACGCTCAACTGACTGAGCCCCCCAGGCGCCCGTTGATTCAGTAGATAGTTTGATATGTGAATCCGGAGTTCAGGAGAAAGGGGAGGCCCGCAGGCGGAGATCTGGGCGTCACCGGGGTCGAGGGAGCGCTGGGGATGGCAGGCCCGCTGCCTCAAGGGTGCGGAGGAGCTGAAACCTGGGGGCAGAGCGCAGTTTGAGGGGCAGTGGGAAGCAGAGGAGCCGGGGAAGGAGGCGAAGGTGGAAGGGCGGCAGGGGCTCCCATGCAGGCGGTCCCCCGCGTCTCAGGCTGACGAGCTCGGAGTGGGGCGGTGTGCCGGGCAGGGCCCCGCTTCTCCGTCTTTCAGGCCTGCCTTCAGGGCTGCGGCGCCAGCAGGGGTCATGGATCACTGCAGCGGGCCGGCAGGGGCTCCCTTCCCTTTGCCTCCCCCCTGTGATGCCGTGGAAACAATGCACAGCGATCCTGGCTCTGTCGCTTTCTAGCTGCCTGTCCTTCGGCCTCTGGTGTCGTCATCTGTGAGATGCGGACAGTGATGCGTGTTTTACCAGTTAGCCATGCAGAGCAGACGAGTCCCCTAGTGCTGCGCTGGGCCCCAGAAGGCGAGTCCCCGGGAGGCGAGCTCGGAGCAGCGGGATGGTTATGTGTTGGGCCTGGACAGGTTTGGGTTTGAGTCCTCCTGGCCCCTGGAGGTGGAGGCCTTGGACAAGTCAGTTGACGCAGCCTCAGCCTCCTCCTATGCGAGCGACATGACCTCATTCCCAGAAGGTGAGCTGATCGGCGTAGAGAAACAAGCTGTACAGAGGGCGGTTGGCCCGGCACGAGGGGGACATGCAGGTCAAAGCTTTTCTTAAGTTTAAGTTCGTCCCTCTGGAAGTTTAGGTCAGACCCAGCTAATGTCAAAGTCCTTGGCTCTCAGTGTGCGAGAACTAAGGCTTCCTCAGCCCATGTCTCAGCCAGACATGCTTCTGAGCCCCTCCGTCACCTGCCCCAGCCTCCCTCCCCCAAGGGGTCCCTCAAGTCTGACGCCCCACCTTTCTCAGGATTCCGCCTTCGGTTCTGCCTCTTTCCTGGGGCACCGGGGCACCCTTCTGCTCCAGCACCTGCCTCCCCCATCTCATCCCAGCATCTCTAGCTGAGCAAGGACGGGGTCGGGCTGCTGGGGCCTCGGGAAGGAGGTGATGAGGCCGGGGGCGAGCGGTGGCGGGCTTCAGGAGCTGAAGCTAGGGGCCAGGCGTGTCTTGGCAGGCTGCAGCACTGTCCCCTGCCAGGGACCGGATTCGGGGCTTGATTTCAGCTTTGGGGAAGAAGCAAGGCATTGGTTTTTTGTTTTGTTTTGTTTTTTTTTTTACTCCTCCTTGAAACAACTTATTTCTTTTTGGGGGTAAATCCTGTGGATGTCAGCGATCTGGTATTGAACCAGAGGGGTGTGTGGGGTTTGAGTCGGGGAGATTGGCAGCTTATATAGAGGCCAGGGTCAGCTGCACACAAGTCCTGAGCACCCTCTCCCACCCGGACAGAGACCAGGACCCCCGGCGCTGGCACCCCCAGAGGAGCGGACCCACTCATGCGCCCTCCTCCTTTGAGGCCTTCGTATGTGAAGGCTGGAAACCAGGAATCCTATTTAGTTGTTACTGTTTTTTGTTTGTTTTCTGTAGAAACGAATGTCTGTGACAGAGGGTGGCATCAAATACCCCGAGACCACAGAGGGAGGCCGCCCCAAGCTTGGGGGACTGATGGACCCGCGGCAGGGGGTGATCGAGCGGACTGGCCGCTGCCAGACTTGCGCGGGTGAGCGCTGGGGCTGGCGCAGGGTCCCCACGGGACGGCGGGCGGCTTGGGTCCTTGACCACCACGCCCAGGGGCGGGGACCCCTGGGGACCTCTGAGGTGCTAGCCAGGACGAGGGTGTGAGGTGTGTGTCCCCGCAGGAAACATGACGGAGTGTCCCGGCCACTTCGGCCACATCGAGCTGGCCAAGCCCGTGTTCCACGTGGGCTTCCTGGTGAAGACGATGAAAGTGTTGCGCTGCGTCTGCTTCTTCTGCTCCAAGCTGCTCGTGGACTCCGTGAGTGGGGTTGGGCTCTGGCCTGGAGGAGGGGTAGCTCCGTGGGGGCACTGAGGCGCAGCCTGGCCAACCCTCCTCTGCTCTGTCCCCAGAACAACCCAAAGATCAAGGACATCCTGGCCAAGTCCAAGGGGCAGCCCAAGAAGCGGCTGACTCACGTGTACGACCTGTGCAAGGGCAAGAACATCTGCGAGGGCGGCGAGGAGATGGACAACAAGTTCGGGGTGGAGCAGCCGGAGGGCGACGAGGATCTGACCAAAGAGAAGGTAGCGGCTGGCGGGACCGCCAGGGCGGGGGGCAGGCTGGCGGAGGGCTGGCTGGCGGAGGGCTGGCGGGGTCTCGGCACTCACGGCCCCTCTGTCCCCGGCAGGGCCACGGGGGCTGCGGGCGGTACCAGCCCCGGATCCGGCGCTCGGGCCTGGAGCTGTACGCGGAGTGGAAGCACGTCAACGAGGACTCCCAGGAGAAGAAAATCCTGCTGAGTCCGGAGCGAGTGCATGAGATCTTCAAGCGCATCTCGGACGAGGAGTGCTTCGTGCTGGGCATGGAGCCCCGCTACGCGCGGCCCGAGTGGATGATTGTCACCGTGCTGCCCGTGCCCCCGCTGTCTGTGCGGCCCGCCGTGGTGATGCAGGGCTCTGCCCGCAACCAGGTCAGCGGCTCCCGGACTGTGCCTCTCCATGGGGTGGCCGGCCCCAGTGGCGGGAGCCCCTGGGCTGTGGGCGGGCGCGGGCAGGAGTCCCGGGGTGGAGTGCAGGGGCCCAGGTGACCGAGCCACCGGCCGGCCCCATGTGTTCGCATGAGGCTCGTGGCATGGTTGGAGGTCACGGCGGTGCTTCCATGTGCGGGAGGTGAGCGGCCGGGCCCGCGGGGCGGTGACCGTGCGGACCTCTGGCCACAGGATGACCTGACGCACAAACTGGCGGACATTGTGAAGATCAACAACCAGCTGCGGCGCAACGAGCAGAACGGCGCGGCGGCACACGTCATCGCCGAGGATGTGAAGCTCCTGCAGTTCCACGTGGCCACCATGGTGGACAACGAGCTGCCCGGCTTGCCCCGCGTGAGTCCCTGTGCCGCCCGCCCTGCGCCCGAGCGGGAGGCAGCATGGGGGGGGCCCGTACTGACTGTGCGGTGCGCCCACCCCATCTCCTCACAGGCCATGCAGAAGTCGGGGCGGCCCCTCAAGTCCTTGAAGCAGCGGCTGAAGGGCAAGGAAGGCCGGGTCCGAGGGAACCTCATGGGCAAGCGAGTGGACTTCTCGGCGCGCACCGTCATCACCCCCGACCCCAACCTCTCCATTGACCAGGTGGGCGTGCCTCGCTCCATCGCCGCCAACATGACCTTCGCGGAGATTGTCACGCCCTTCAACATCGACAGGTGGGCTTGGCCTTCAGTGGGGGCAGGGATGCAGGGGCAGAGGGGCGTGCTGGAGGGACACATGTGGGGAGCTGGGAGACTGGGGCAGAGAGCGCTTCCACTGGGGCTCTGGGGTGCAGGCGGCAACAGGGCTTCGGGGAGCTCTGTGCTCAGCACACCTTTGCTCTCTGCAGACTCCAGGAGTTAGTGCGCAGGGGGAACAGCCAGTACCCGGGGGCCAAGTACATCATCCGGGACAACGGCGACCGTATCGACCTGCGTTTCCACCCCAAGCCCAGTGACCTTCACTTGCAGACCGGCTACAAGGCACGTGGCAGGCCGGGGCCTCCCTCCCTGCCCCCAGCAGGAAGCTCTCTGGAGCGTGGGCCTCGGAGGCTGTCCTGTTCCTTAGGGTCCAGGCCTGGGGCATCTCTAAAAGACCCCTGCTGTCCTCAGCAATCTGCGGTGGCCGGGGTGGGGAACGCACTGGCCCGAGTGCGGCGCCCTGGGTGTATATGGCCAGTCCAGGAGGCGCGAAGCAGAAGGCTTCGCATGCAGAGTGTCTAGGTACCCCCCCACCCCCCGCACCAGAGATCCTTGAGGCTGGGCGATGCTGTGCTTTGTTCCGTGACATCCGGTCCGGAGAGCTGGTCGCTGCGTGTTGCACGTGAAATTGCACCCTTCCATCGTCTCTTTCCAGCTGCAGAGCATTTCTGGCCCATGGCCTCTTGCTCGTAGCAAGACCCCTCCTCTGAGCCTCCGCTTGCCTCCCTAGGTGGAGCGGCACATGTGCGACGGAGACATCGTCATCTTCAACCGCCAGCCGACTTTGCACAAAATGTCCATGATGGGGCATCGGGTCCGCATCCTCCCCTGGTCTACTTTCCGCTTAAATCTGAGGTCCGTCCCCTGGCCATGGGCGGCGGGTGGGGCCGAGCGGCTGCCTGACGCTTCCCTGCGGCAGATCCAAGCCCGGCTTCTCCTGGCCACTGCAGTGTGACGACTCCTTACAATGCGGACTTCGACGGGGACGAGATGAACTTGCACCTGCCCCAGTCCCTGGAGACGCGGGCGGAGATCCAGGAGCTGGCCATGGTGCCGCGCATGATCGTCACCCCGCAGAGCAATCGGCCCGTCATGGGCATCGTGCAGGACACGCTCACGGCCGTGCGCAAATTTACCAAGAGAGACGTCTTTCTGGAACGGGTGCGTGCTTCTGCGGTGGGGGCCCGGCTCGCGTGGGCACTGTGACCAGGGTGGCGGGGGGATGCCGGGGAGGAAGAGCTGGGACGTGTGCGTTGACCTGCCCCACACCGACCTGTGTGCCCGGTAGGGGAGGGGAGGCGGTTAGGACGGTCAGGAGCCAGAAGGGGTTTATGGCTTTAACGCCCAATTCGGCTTTTTATTTTATTTTGTTTTTTTCCCCGTTTAATTTTTTAAGATGTATAATTTCAGCTACTGTTAGAAAGCAAAGGTGAAGGAAAACACATGATCTAATTATGGTTTTATTTCCTTTTTCTTTTATCTTTTTTTTTTCTCTTTAAGATTTTATTTATTAAACAGATCACAAGTAGGCAGAGAGGCAGGCAGAGTCAGAGGGAAGCAGGCTTCCTGCTAAGCAGGGAGCCCGGTGTTAGGCTCATTCTCAGGACCCTGAGATCGTGACCTGAGCCGAAGGCAGAGGCTTCACCCACTGAGCCCCCCACAGGCACCCCGGTCGTTTTATAACTATTAGAAGTAGTTTATGTTTATTGTTCCAGAGAAGAGAGACGCAGAGTCTCATGATCATAATGAATTTGTCATTAAAAGTTTGGGAAATCCTCTCCCTGGCATCTGCCTCCCCAGTCCGCTCTCACCCGCGGGTTCGCGACCTTCCCCGGCGCCGTCCTGGGGCTGAAAGCTGCCGTTGCTTGTTCTGGTGCAGGGAGAGGTGATGAACCTGCTGATGTTCCTGTCCACGTGGGACGGGAAGGTGCCGCAGCCAGCCATCCTGAAGCCACGGCCCCTGTGGACGGGCAAACAGATCTTCTCCCTCATCATCCCCGGCCACATCAACTGTATCCGCACCCACAGCACCCATCCCGACGATGAGGACAGCGGTCCTTATAAGCACATCTCTCCCGGGGACACCAAGGTAGGATCCGGCCTCCGCCTGGATGAAGGCAGGATTTGGACAGGGGCGCCACTGCGGGGGCCTTGAGTGGGGTGCTTTGTACGCAGGTGGTGGTGGAGAATGGGGAGCTGATCATGGGCATCCTGTGTAAGAAGTCTCTGGGCACGTCGGCCGGCTCACTGGTGCACATCTCTTACCTGGAGATGGGCCACGACGTCACTCGCCTCTTCTACTCCAACATTCAGACAGTCATCAACAACTGGCTGCTGATCGAGGGTGAGCGGAGGGCTCCGGCGAGCCCGCTCCTGGAGTCCGGACTCCCTCTTCTTCCCGTTCTTCCGTCCTTCGCTTTCCTGCCTGGATTTGGGGTCCCGCTGCCAAGTGTCTTGGCTGTGATTCCATTCCAGGTTTTGGCGGGGGAGTGTAAGGAGGGAGTTGGTGATGCTGCTCCGTATTCCTAGGTCATACCATTGGCATTGGGGATTCCATTGCTGACTCCAAGACCTACCAGGACATCCAGAACACTATTAAGAAGGCCAAGCAAGATGTGATAGAGGTGAGTAAGAAAGCCGGCTGAGACCCAGTGACAGTCGCTCTGACACGTGGAGGGGATGTCGGCGATAGCCGGGTGGGTGTGAGGGGAAGGGAAGCAGAGCGGATGCCGAGCCCTGCCGCCTCCCTCGCACCCAGGTCATCGAGAAAGCTCATAACAACGAGCTGGAGCCCACCCCGGGGAACACCCTGCGGCAGACCTTCGAGAACCAGGTGAACCGCATTCTCAACGACGCCCGAGACAAGACTGGCTCCTCTGCCCAGAAGTCCCTGTCTGAGTACAACAACTTCAAGTCCATGGTCGTGTCTGGGGCCAAAGGTTCCAAGATCAACATCTCCCAGGTGGGGAGCCTCGTCCCTCCAGATGCGGGCCGCGGGGGAGGTGTGACGGGGCGGCGTGCTGGGAGTGCGGGCTCCTCAAGCAGAGGGAGTCAGGGGCATCCCCCCTCGTTCCCCAGGTCATTGCCGTCGTCGGACAGCAGAACGTGGAAGGGAAACGGATCCCATTTGGGTTCAAGCACAGGACCTTGCCTCACTTCATCAAAGACGACTACGGGCCCGAGAGCCGTGGCTTCGTGGAGAACTCCTACCTGGCCGGCCTCACGCCCACCGAGTTCTTCTTCCACGCCATGGGGGGTCGCGAGGGGCTCATCGACACGGCTGTCAAGACTGCCGAGACTGGTGAGGCCTTCTGGCCCGGCTGCTGCCGGGGGGTCCCCGGGGTGGGTGTGGGGGAGTTCCTGGGCCGGGGATTTTGTCTCTCCTGGAAAGAGTAGCAGTTGGAGGTCAGGAGCCAGGGAGGCGGCCCACGGGACACGCACGGCCCACTGCAGTGCTCCCTGGTGCAGGGACAGGGCCCGAGGTCTCTTGCGACTTGTCCCCTGGGGGCTAGTTCCTAGGAGCCCCCTCTAGGCCCTGTCTCCAGCTGGTGGTGGGCGCAGCGTTCATGGAGGGGCGGGGGGGGCTGCTGTCTCTTGTGAGGGTCGGTGGGTGAAGGCGTCGGTGCCCTCGGTGCACGTGCCCATACCCCTCCCCCCGCGCAGGGTACATCCAGCGGCGGCTCATCAAGTCCATGGAGTCGGTGATGGTGAAGTACGATGCCACGGTGCGCAACTCCATCAACCAGGTGGTGCAGCTGCGCTATGGCGAGGACGGCCTGGCCGGCGAGAGCGTCGAGTTCCAGAACCTGGCCACCCTGAAGCCGTCGCACAAGGCTTTCGAGAAGAAGTGAGGAGGCTGCAGCGGGCGGGTCCTGGCCCTGGGGCTCTCGGCTGGCCTCCTAGGACACCCCTTCCTGTGCGCAGAGACGTTGCCCGCCCAGCGTGTGCCTTGAGGCTACCCACCCTCTTAGGGCCCTTTGTCCCTCCTGGTGACGGCAGGTGCACGGTGGGGGCCGACCTGAGACCTGCCCCACCTGGTGCCCGATGGCATCCGAGCAAGCTCAGGTGGCCTGGCCCCAGCTCGGGTCCTGCTGGCAGCCCTGGGGCCTAGACCTTGGATTTCTCTGCCCCGGACGCTTGGCCCTGGAGCCCCGTTCTGCTGGCCGTGCGGCTCGGAGCCTCGCGGTGCTCCTTGCAGGGATCCGGCCTGGGCCCGCCTGCCCCTGACGGCTCCTGCCGCCCACAGGTTCCGCTTCGACTACACGAATGAGAGGGCGCTGCGGCGCACCCTGCAGGAGGACCTGGTGAAGGACGTGCTGAGCAACGCGCACATCCAGAACGAGCTGGAGCGGGAGTTCGAGCGCATGCGCGAGGACCGGGAGGTGCTCAGGGTCATCTTCCCCACCGGCGACAGTAAGGTGCGAGAAGCAGGAAGGCAGGGCTGGGGCGCCGCTGCCCTTGTGCAGCCATGCCCTGCTCTTGACACCCCCTGCCGCCCCCCTTCAGGTGGTGCTGCCCTGTAACCTGCTGCGCATGATCTGGAACGCTCAGAAAATCTTCCACATCAACCCCCGTCTGCCGTCCGACCTGCACCCCATCAAGGTTGTAGAGGGTGAGTAGCGGCCCGGGGACCCCTGGGCCAGGCTGTGGGACCGGAGTGAGCCGGGCCGCGGTCTACCCTCTCTTGACCTCCGTTGACCCCCAGGAGTCAAGGAGTTGAGCAAGAAGCTGGTGATCGTGAACGGGGACGACCCCCTGAGCCGGCAGGCGCAGGAGAACGCCACGCTCCTCTTCAACATCCACCTGCGCTCCACGCTCTGCTCCCGCCGCATGGCCGAGGAGTTTCGGCTCAGCGGGGAGGCCTTCGACTGGCTGCTCGGGGAGATCGAGTCCAAGTTCAACCAAGCCATCGTAAGTGGTGGTCTCAGCCCAGCCTCGCTTTCCTCTCCTCTGACCTGTGCACTCAGCTGGGCTCTGAGCGCAGCCTGCCTTTGCCCACCAGCGCCTGGGGGTGGCTCTCGGTCACTGAGGGTCTGTGCTCTGCCAAGTCCCGCATGGGGGGCTTTGTGCCTCCTTCCCTGGCGGGCTGTTTCCATGACGCAGACACAGACACTGACCCCGGGCCTTGGACAGATGGGTGACGACTCCGGTACGGGCAGTCGTACCGCAAAGAAGCCACGTGGCTGGGATGGGAAATGGGAGGGTCGTTCTTTCTTTTCTGAAAGTTCCTGGTGTGTGCGGAATTCCGGTTTAGGTGGAGGTAAGGGACAGGGGGAGTGAGCAGGAAAGTGATTCAGACGTACTGGGAGAGACCATCGCTGTCTCTAATGGAGGTTTTTACAGGGAATCGGGAAGACAGAAATGTCTTACAGGCATGGCTCTGAATACGCGCACGGTAGTCCAGTTTTATAAATGAAATAATTAAAACGCATCAGGAAACACTAGAACGTGATTGAAAGAAGGAAGGCTTAAGTGAGCAGAAGGACATCGGGTGTTCGAGGATTACAAGATTTGTGCTGCTAAATGGCCATAATCCCCAAAGTGATCTACAGACCCAGCACTGTCCCTGTCAGAGCCCAGCTGCCTTTTTTGCAGAGATGTATAAGCTGATCCTAAAATTTATAGGGAATCGCAGAGGATTCAGAGTAGCCAGACAGTTTGGGAAAACAACAAGATTGGAGGACTCCCTCTTCCCGATTTCAGATATCCCCGTAAAGCGCACATCTCAGGATCGCGCGGTGCTCACGTGAGGATGTAGAGACAGGTGCACGGAACTCGAGTTGATGGCTTGCAAGTTAAACCATCATGTTTACAGTTTTTTTTTGTTTTTTTTTTTTTAGATTTTATTTATTTACTTGTTTGATAGATAAAGACAGCAAGAGAGGGAACATAAGCAGGGGGAGTGGGAGAGGGAGAAGCAGGCTCCCCACTGAGTAGGAAGCCCCATGCAAGGCTCGATCCCAGAACCCTGGCATCATGACCTGAGCTGAAGGCAGATGCTCAATGACTGAGCCACCCAGGGGCCCCTACAGTTGTTACATTTTTGCCGAGGGTGCCAAGTTGTTGCATGGGAGAAAATAAGTCTTTTTAGCAAATGATGTTGGGGGCCTCACTGGGTTCTTAAGTCCATTAATCCAACCCTTGGTTTCAGTTCAGGTCATGGTCTCAGGGGTTGTGAGATCAAGCCCCATGTTGGGCTCTGCACTCAGCTCGGGGGGTGGGGGAGCTCTGCTTGGGATTCTCTTGCCCTGCCCTCCCCGACGCATGCTCCATTTCTCTCAAATAAATAAACTAAAAAGTAGTAGTGCTGGGACAGCTAGGCATGCACGTGCAAAATGCTGAAGTTGGATCCCTATCTCGCGCTGTGTAGAAAAATTGCTTCAAAATACATTGAAGATTTACGTATAAGAGCTCAAGCTGTAAAAAGTTCTAGAAGAAAATGTGGGGTAAATTTTCATGATCTTTGATTAGACAGCAGAGTCTTTGGTTTAACACCGAAAGCATCCGGCTAAAGAGCACAAAACAAGACAGATGGGGCTTCGGCCATATGAATGAAAATCCTGTGCTTCAGAGGACACCGGCAAGAGAGTGAGAAGACGACCCAGAACAGGGGGAGAGCTTTGCACATCATCCCGCATGAAGAATACATAAAGGACTGCTGCGAGTCGGCAACAGAGAGCTAAGGCCTTGGATAGACACCTTCTCGCAAAGAATACACCTAAGTGGCCAGTAAATGCACGAGAAGAGATGGTCAGCGTCGTGAGCCGCCCAGGAAACGCAGCTGCAGCCCAGTGAGCCACCACCTCGTGCCCCTCGAGTTAGGATGGAAAGAGGCTGTGGGCGAAGCCATGGAGCCGTGGGAGTTCTCCTGGGCCGCTGCTGCAGGCAGCACAGCTACTGTGGGGCCACTGGGGGTCATGGCCCGCTGCTCCTCGGCAGAGTGGACACAGGTACCGTTTGAACCGGCAGATCCACTCCTAGGAACATACCCAAGACTGGACAGCATGTGCACAAAAACGCAGCACACAGACGATCGTGGCCCCATCGCTCATAACAGCCAAAACATCTGTCCGCGGATGGGTAAGCAGGACTGCCAGCGCCGCACAGAGCAGCGTCTTGTGGTCGGAGCAGCGAGGTGCGGAGCCGGAAGACGGCGATGAGCCTTTGGTTGCCGCGTGCGCGGAGCCCGTGTGCATGGAGCCTGTGTGCACTAGGACTCTCTCTTGTGGGAAGGTTAGAGCTGATGGCGTGTGGTTGTGACCTCAGTGAACAGAAACTTCGGGGAGCCCCCCACTTGGAGCACTGACGTGACCCTGTGTGCAGCCCATGACTTGAGCATTCTCTAGAAGTTAGGGTCTCAGGTGGCCCAGGGCCGCCCCCCGTGTGTGTGGCATGGAAGGTGAGGAGGAAGGGGCGCGCAAATCTGACTTGCTGTGCCGGGTTCCTGTCCTGTCCCAGCAACCGTGTCGCTGTCCTGACCGCAGCTCGTCGTCCCTCGCCAGAGGGAGGTGCTCGCTTTCTCTGATGCCAGCTTTTCTTAATCCGTAGGCCCATCCTGGGGAGATGGTGGGCGCCCTGGCTGCACAGTCCCTTGGAGAACCTGCCACCCAGATGACCTTGAACACCTTTCACTATGCCGGCGTGTCTGCCAAGAACGTCACCCTGGGTGTGCCCCGTCTCAAGGAGCTCATCAACATCTCCAAGAAGCCAAAGACGCCTTCACTAACTGTCTTCCTGCTGGGCCAGTCCGCTCGAGACGCTGAGAGGGCCAAGGTAGGGGCTGGGTGGCTCGGCTTCTGGCGGGAGCAGGAGGGGGAGTGCTCTCGCCCTCGAACGCCTTCTCTCTGCAGGGAGGGCTTGCAGAAGCCTTCAGAGCTCCCTACATGCCTGTGTCCCCAACGCCTCTTGTTCCCAGGACATTCTGTGCCGTCTGGAGCATACGACACTGAGGAAGGTGACCGCCAACACAGCCATCTACTACGACCCCAACCCCCAGAGCACAGTGGTGGCAGAGGATCAGGAATGGGTGAATGTCTACTACGAGATGCCTGACTTTGACGTGGCCCGCATCTCCCCCTGGCTTTTGCGGGTGGAGCTGGATCGGAAGCACATGACCGACCGGAAGCTGACCATGGAGCAGATTGCCGAGAAGATCAACGCGGGTAAGGCCGCCCGGGCTCCGCGTCTGTCCCGGCACTGCCCGCTGGTCCCCAGTGAGCCCCCCAACCTCCGCCTTCCGTGGGGCTGCTCCGTGTTACCCTTTCTTCTAGAAGGTGCTGGGAGGGGCAGGGGAAGCTGGGAGAGCGCCATGGGGGAGAGTCCCGTGGCCGCCGGCCTTCTCACGGCCCCTCCCCCCCACCAGGCTTTGGCGACGACTTGAACTGTATCTTTAACGACGACAACGCCGAGAAGCTGGTGCTGCGCATCCGGATCATGAACAGCGACGAGAACAAGATGCAGGAGGTGAGGGGGCCGGGGGCCGGGGGCGGCGCCGGGCAATCCTCTCCGGCGACCAGAGGCGTGAAGGCGGCACGGAGGCCGGCCGGGATTTCCAAAACTCGTAGCAGCAAAACCATTTGCAAGTTGAGGTAGCAGCTGTGTGGCCCCGACAGGTGGCGTTGAAGGGGGGGAGGCCCTGGGCTGTCCCTCCGCGAGCCTCCCGCGTGAGGGCCAGGGCAGGGCTAGCACGTCTAGCTAAGGCGGGTGACAGCAGGTGCCGCGGGCCCGGAGAGCGCGCCGGAGCGGTGATTTCAGACCTGGGCACAGACACGCGCTGAACGGTGGGAGAGTAGATCCAGGGATCCGGCAGGAGGAGAGGCTGGCTGCCCCCAGGAGCCCTTTGCTGCTCGGGTGGCGGCCACCACGAGCTGGGAGGGGCCGCAGCTGCCGGCGGGGGCCCTTGGAGCGCACGAGCTCCGGAAAGCCTGTCGGGAAGGCGGGCTGCGGGAGCCTTCCCTGGGTCTCTGTCAGGATCGCGAAAACCAGCTAAAAAGTAATGTCATGGACCACGGAGGGCAGAGTCTGGGGCCTGACGTGCCTCTCAGGCCCCTGGGGCGGCTGTGGTCTGGGGTGAGCATGGGAAGAGGAGGAGGGTGGAGGGTTCCAGGCCCCCGGCCTCGCTCTCGCTGCAGGAGGAGGAGGTGGTGGACAAGATGGACGACGACGTTTTCCTGCGCTGCATCGAGTCCAACATGCTGACCGACATGACCCTGCAGGGCATCGAGCAGATCAGCAAGGTCAGCGTGCCCCTTCCCCCAGCGCCCCCCGCCCCCCGCCGCCCCCTCTCCCCGCCGCTCACGCCCTCCCCTGCAGGTGTACATGCACCTGCCGCAGACAGACAACAAGAAGAAGATCATCATCACAGAGGACGGGGAGTTCAAGGCCCTGCAGGAGTGGATCCTGGAGACGGACGGCGTGAGCCTGATGCGGGTGCTGAGCGAGAAGGACGTGGACCCCGTGCGCACCACGTCCAACGACATCGTGGAGATCTTCACGGTGAGCCCCCGACGCGCCACTGCCCCGCTCTCTTCCCGGGATCCCGGGTGTCCGACCGGAAGCGGCCCCCGCCTTCTGTCTGGGCGTTCGCTCACTCACGTTTGTCCAAAGCTGAGTCCCACATTGGGTGTGGGCGGCTGCGACCCCTGACTGTCCCTCCGCGGGTCCGGGTGGCAGGAGGAGCTGGGGGAGAGCAGAGCTCCTCGGTCTTGTCCCATCACTCCGCCCGCCCTGCCGTGCCAGGTGCTGGGCATTGAAGCCGTGCGGAAGGCTCTGGAGCGGGAGCTGTACCACGTCATCTCCTTTGACGGTTCCTACGTCAATTACCGCCACTTGGCTCTGCTGTGTGACACCATGACCTGTCGCGGCCACCTGATGGCCATCACCCGACATGGGGTCAACCGCCAGGATACCGGGCCTCTCATGAAATGCTCCTTTGAGGAAACGGTAACGATGGAGCGGGGGGGGGGAAGGATGGAGAGGGGGCGGGGAGTGCTGTAGGAAGACAGGGTACGCCAGAGTGACCTGGGCAGTGGCCCCTCGGAGCACGGGGTGCGGCGCTGTCTCACGGGCCCCCCGTCGGCCGGTCGTGCAGGTGGACGTGCTGATGGAGGCCGCCGCGCACGGAGAAAGCGACCCCATGAAGGGGGTGTCGGAGAACATCATGCTGGGCCAGCTCGCACCAGCCGGCACCGGCTGCTTCGACCTCCTGCTCGACGCCGAGAAGTGCAAGTACGGCATGGAGATCCCCACCAACATCCCCGGCTTGGGGGCCGCCGGACGTGAGTAGCTGGGCCCCTGCTGCCCAGACCTGGCCAGGGGGCGGGGGTGGGGAGGCCGGTCCCCGGGCGCGGTGCTCAGGAGTCCCCCTGCTTCTCCGCAGCCACTGGCATGTTCTTCGGCTCGGCGCCCAGCCCCATGGGAGGGATTTCTCCGGCCATGACGCCCTGGAACCAGGGCGCAACCCCGGCCTATGGCGCCTGGTCCCCCAGTGTCGGTGAGTGACCCGGCCCGTGAGGAAGGGCCTCTGTCTGGGTCGTCAGAGGCGGGTGGGCTGTGGGGTGAGATGGTGCCCCACCAGGGAGCTCTGGGGACGCCGCTAGGCTCCAGCTCTGGTTTGAACTCCTGTTGCGCTTCACAGGGAGTGGAATGACCCCGGGGGCAGCCGGCTTCTCCCCCAGCGCTGCCTCCGACGCCAGCGGCTTCAGCCCCGGCTACTCGCCCGCCTGGTCTCCCACGCCGGGCTCCCCGGGCTCACCCGGCCCCTCCAGCCCGTACATCCCCTCGCCAGGTGAGCTGTCCCTGTCGGTCAGGGTCAAGTTCCTTCCTCCCCAATCCTTCCTTTGGGGTGACTTTCCATCACTGAACTCCTGGCTTTTTCCCCCACAGGTGGTGCTATGTCTCCCAGCTACTCCCCGACATCACCTGCCTATGAGCCTCGCTCCCCTGGAGGTTATACGCCTCAGAGTCCCTCTTACTCCCCCACCTCACCTTCCTACTCCCCTACCTCTCCATCCTACTCTCCAACCAGTCCCAACTACAGCCCCACATCACCTAGCTACTCCCCGACCTCGCCCAGCTACTCCCCAACCTCTCCCAGCTACTCCCCAACCTCTCCCAGCTACTCCCCAACCTCTCCCAGCTACTCTTCCAACTTCCCCGAGCTACTCTCCCACTTCTCCCAGCTACTCTCCGACCTCTCCCAGCTACTCCCCGACCTCTCCCAGCTACTCCCCCACCTCTCCCAGCTACTCGCCCACCTCTCCCAGCTACTCGCCGACGTCCCCAAGCTACTCTCCCACCTCCCCAAGCTACTCTCCCACATCCCCAAGCTACTCACCAACATCCCCAAGCTACTCGCCAACCAGCCCTAACTATTCTCCAACCAGTCCCAATTACACCCCGACATCTCCCAGCTATAGTCCGACGTCACCGAGCTACTCCCCGACTAGTCCCAACTACACGCCCACGAGCCCTAACTACAGCCCAACCTCTCCAAGTTACTCTCCAACTTCACCCAGCTACTCCCCAACCTCGCCGAGCTATTCCCCGTCAAGCCCACGATACACACCACAGTCTCCGACCTATACCCCAAGCTCCCCCAGCTACAGCCCCAGCTCCCCCAGCTACAGCCCCACCTCACCGAAGTACACCCCCACCAGCCCCTCGTACAGCCCCAGCTCCCCAGAGTACACCCCGACCTCTCCCAAGTACTCACCTACCAGCCCGAAGTACTCACCCACCTCCCCCAAGTACTCACCCACCAGCCCTACCTACTCGCCCACCACCCCAAAGTACTCCCCAACATCTCCTACTTACTCGCCGACCTCTCCGGTCTATACCCCGACCTCGCCCAAGTACTCGCCCACCAGCCCCACCTACTCACCCACCTCCCCCAAGTACTCACCCACCAGCCCCACCTACTCACCTACCTCCCCCAAAGGCTCTACCTACTCACCCACTTCCCCGGGCTACTCGCCCACCAGCCCCACCTACAGCCTCACCAGTCCGGCCATCAGCCCGGACGACAGCGATGAGGAGAACTGAGGGTGCACGGGGCGTAGGGCAGCCCGAGCGGTGCCTTCGTGGGGCGCAGGCCCCTGGCCCGCCTCCCTTGTACATAGCACCTGTGACAAAGTTCTTCGTTGATGTTCTGGTCCCGTTTCCACTGGGGCTTCTTGTCTTGTTCTCCACCTGTGCTGACTCAGAACCCACTCCTGGCTGTGGTGGTCTCCTTCCTGCCCCACCCGCCCCAGGCCTGTCCCCACATCGAGGCTCCCTCCTTGCCTGTGGCTTGATTGGGGGTAGAGGGGATGTTAACGTCTTAGGGGTAGTTCCTGCTCTGGGTCGTTCTAGCTGATCCTTGGGAAGAACAAAGCTAAAGCTAAGCTGCCTTTTGTCTGTTATTTTATTTTTTGAAGTTTAAATAAAGTTTACTAATTTTGGCCAAAAGTGTGTCAGCATCATTGTGGGCAGCACACCTGGGCCGCCGCCTGCCCGGGCCACTCCCTGCCACCGAGAGGCGGGCAGCCCAGAGCTGACGGCTCTTTACTCTCTGGACAAGCACCTGCCACAGGCCACGTGCTGCTTTCTGCCAGCGTTATGGTCCCCCAGGGGTGGCCCTTGCCCTCTGTTAAGGCACTGCTGGACATAACAGCTTTTTAACCTTTTATTACCGTGATTTGGAAAAGTCCAGAAAGGTCCATGTGCCGCAGAAGCGGAAGTGTCCCCGTCCTCCACACCACCACCAGGAGGCACATTTTCTTCCAGTATTTCTCCTGCACGTTTCTCAAGTCCTTTCTAACCACTTTTTGTTTTGGCCTCAAAGCAACAATGAGAAGGTTCTGGATCCTGTAATAGCTTTGAAAGTGGCTGTGAAAGGATTCAGGGATAATTTGTTACTTTTGGCCACTCCATATTTTCTTCCGTTAGTTTCCTGTTAATGTGTGTATCAGCTTCCTCCATTCCCTGCTAGATATTTCTGCTTTGCTTTGGATGTTTTAAATTAATTTTTTTAAATCAGAAGATTTCAGAGAACAGTATAAAACATTAAGCCCAAGATGTAACTTGATCACTGAGGTTACAGGTTATAGATGCTATTTTGCCGTATTTAACCCCAATCTTAAATTGTTTCAAAAGAAATGACTTGTTCTTATAAGAAGAATATATATTTGTTATAAAAGATCAAAGCACCACAGAAAGAAAGAAACATCAAGTCTTCCCAAATCCCACCACCGAGAAGTGAGCACCACCGTGGTGAACGGAATTCCAGGCATCTCCTGCGTAGATCGCAGGGTGATAGAAGGTTAGAAATTGTTGAAGGGGAATGGGATTGCTTGAGTTTGGGCCATGAGGATACCATGGACTGCCTTACAAACGGCCAGTATTTCTCACCGCTCTGGAGGCTGGGGGATCCAAGGTCAAGGCCGCTGGCTTCTTGGTTCATAGATGGCCATCTTCTTCCAAGTCTGCAGAGGGCAGAGGGGTGAGGGAGCTCTCTGGGCTCCTCTCAGGGCATTGATCCCCATCATGAGGGCTCCACCCCCATGCCCTAAGCCCTTCCCCAGAGCTCCCCCCTCCAGACACTGTCACATTAGGGACTAGTTTCCAGCCATGGGAATTTGGGGGAGACAAACATTAAGTCCATAGCGTGTGCTATGTAATAAATTTGATAATTTTTTAAGGAGAAAAAATTAAATGAATTCACCAATCTGCCAAATGTCATATCACTAGTTCTCCATGAGCACCATTCCTGACAGGTCCCTCAACGTTATGAAAACAAAACGAATAAAGGAAAAGCAGAATCAGACCCGCAGATTCCGAGAACAAAGTGATGACTGCGGGGGGAAGGGGAGGTCCAGGCTTCCCCTAATGGAACGAGTAGGACCTGGGGGTGAAAGGCACAGTGGAGGGATTAGAGCCAGTGGGATCCTGATGGCATCCCAAGGGAACAGGTGGCAGCCGCGTGGGGGTGAGCACAGTGGCACGTGTCAGTCATCCACTTACTATGTCACACACCTCACACCGGCGTGACATTGCATGTCAACCGTGCTTTGATAAATACATCATAAAACTATTGCAGTTGGTAATGTTGGGTTATTTTTTTTAACCCACTGAGCCACCCAGGCGCCCCATGTTGGGTTATTTTTTAAAACATTAAAAGTAGGGGCGCCTGGGTGGCTCAGTGGGTTAAAGCCTCTGCCTTCGGCTCGGGTCATGATCTCAGAGTCCTGGGATCGAGCCCCACATCGGGCTCTCTGCTCAGCGGGGAGCCTGCTTCCTCCTCTCTCTCTGCCTGCCTCTCTGCCTACTTGTAATCTCTGTCAAATAAATAAATAAAATCTTAAAAAAAAAAAAAAAATTTAAAACATTAAAAGTTCGGGGGCGGGGACGCCTGGGTGGCTCAGTTGGTTAAGCGGCTGCCTTCGGCTCAGGTCATGATCCCAGTGTCCTGGGATCGAGTCCCACATCGGGCTCCTTGCTCAGTGGGGAGCCTGCTTCTCCCTCTGCCTCTGCCTGCCACTTTGTCTGCCTGTGCTCATGCTCTCTCTCTCTCTCTCTCTAACAAATAAATAAATAAAGTCTTTAAAAAAAAAAAAAAAGTTCAGGGGTGCCTGGGTGGCTCAGTGGGCAAAGCATCTGCCTTCGGCTCAGGTCACGATCTCAGCGTCCTTCAGAATGTTATTTAATGTATTGGAACTTCATATTAATGAAGTCATAGCGTATGTCCTTTGTGACCTGCTGCTTTTAGTCAACATTGTTTTAGAGATTCGTCCTGCTGAGGTTTTTAGCTACTCGTTCTTTTTTAGTATCAGATCCACCTTCTACACTGGTCAGATTATAGACCTCATCCTCGGGCCGCCCGGCCAGCTCGGTCAGGGGAGGCTGCAACTCCTGAGCTCAGGGTTGTGAGTTCGAGCCCCACCTGGGGTGTGGAGATGACTTAAATAAAACATTGAAAGAGAGAAATGCATCCTTATTCATTACTCTTTTCCAGTATCCTGCAGGAGTTTTATAGCTTGGGATCTCACATCTAGGTGAATTTTAATCCACTTAAAATTGACTTGTCTGGTGGAAAGAAGTGGTTTCATTGTTTTCCACATAAATAATCAGTGGTCCCAGCAAAATTTGTGAAGTGACTCATCCTGATCAAATGACATTCTTTACCAAGGCGTTTTCATAGGTACTTCCAAATGTTTCTAGATTCTTCTGTCCCTTGGGTCTATTTTCTCTTCCTCTGTTTTGTTGTTGTTGTTTTTTAATTTTCTCTTCCTCTGTTACTACCACATTATTATTAAATATATATATATATTTTTAAAGCGTGCATGCAAGTGAGGAGTAGGGGCAGAGGGAGAGGGAGAGAATCTTAAATAGATTCCGTACCCCACGCAGAGCCTGACGCAGGGCTCAATCTCATGACTCTGAGATCACGATCTGAACCAAAATCAAGAGCCAGCCACTTGAACTGACCAAGTCACCCTGCTGCCCCTCTGACCACATCACATTTAATTGCTATGCTTTTTTGTTAGAATTCAAACATCTGGTAAAGCACCGTTCCCCCACCCTCGTTCTCCAACAATGTTTTGGGAATTTAGGACCCTTTGTTCTTCCACAAAATATTTAGGTCTAGTCCCTAATAACCCATCAAAGATTTGTGTTAAAGTTTCATTAAGTCCCTCTTTTTTTTTTTTTTTTTTTTAAGATTCTATTTATTTGAGAGAGAGAACGAGCACTGGGGAGCGACAGATAGAGACGCAGACTCCCCGCTGAGCAGGGAGCCCAGTGCAGGGCTCGAGCCCAGGACTGAAATCATGACCTGAGCTGAAGGCAGCGGGTTAACCGACTGAGCCACCCAGGTGCCCCCTTGGCCCTCTTGGAGCTCCATCCTGTGAACCACGAGATCAGGGCTTGAGCCAAAACCAAGAATTGGTTGCCCAACCCACTGAGCCACCCAGGGGTCCCTCTTGTCACTTTGAAACAATGAACTTCTGGCCTTGTTGATTTGAATTAATTGATTCTAATTAGTTAATTTTTGTTCTAGGATATATTGTTCCCTCCCTTTCTACTTTCTTTGGACTTATTCCACTATTCTTTTCATGGCTTCACTAACTTGGGCATGCTTTTTCGCTGTAAACATTGATGTTGTATTTTAAAGAAGTTAAGAGAAAAACAAGGGACTTTCATATTTACCTAGTGATGTGGCATTTCCTATGCCCTCTCCTTCCTGAAAGTCTGCTTTTCCTCCTGGTGTCTTCCCTTCAGCCCGAACAACTTCATTCAAAATTTCTTACAGATCCAAGCTGCTGGCAACATGTGGTCTTAGTTTTCTTTTGTCTGAAAATGTCCATTTCATTTTCATTACTCAAGGATGTCCTCATTGGGTATTAGATTCTGGTGTGAGATTTTTATTTTTATTTTAGCACTTTTTTTTTTTCTTTTCTCCCATTCTTCCCCCCACCCCCAGCCTCCTCAATTTTACTGAAATGTGATCGGCGTAGAGCACAGTAGAAGTTTAAAGTGTACAATATAGTGACCTGACTTACATATATTGGGAAATGATCACCATCATAAGTTCCTTCATCATCCGTCATCTCACACAGATTTTTGAAATGTTTCTTTTCCCTAGTGATGAGAATTCTTGGGATTTACTCTTAACAACTTCCCAGTATATGGTGCAGCAGTGTTAATGGTGAGCAATGGGGCTCAGCAGGGAGATTGCTTCCCTCTCTCTCTGCCTGCCTCTCTGCCAACTTGTGATCTCTGTATGTCAAATAAATAAAATCCTTTTTTTTTTTCCAAAGACTTTATTTATTTATTTGACAGACAGAGATCACAAGTAGGCAGAGAGGCAGGCAGAGAGAGAGGAGGAAGCAGGCTCCCTGCTGAGCAGAGAGCCCGATGTGGGGCTCGATCCCAGAACCCTGGGATCATGACCTGAGCCGAAAGCAGAGGCTTTAACCCACTGAGCCACCCAGGCGCCACCAAAAAAAATTTTTTTTTTTGAGATTTTATTTATTGGGGTGCCTGGGTGGCTCAGTGGGTTAAAGCCTCTGCCTTCGGCTCAGGTCATGATCCCAGGGTTCTGGGATCGAGCCCCACATCGGGCTCTCTGCTCAGCAGGGAGCCTGCTTCCTCCTCTCTCTGACTGCCTCTCTGCCTACTTGTGATCTCTGTCTGTCAAATAAATAAATAAAAATCTTTTAAAAAATTTTTTTCTTTGGCGCCCATTTACAATCCCACCAACAGTGCAGGAGGGTTCCCTTTCATCCACATCCTCACTGGCATTTTCTACCCCTTATCTTTTTGATGACGGCCATTCCAATAGGAACAACAGGATATCTCATTGTGCGGTTTTTTTTTAAGATTTTATTTATTTATTTGACAGATCACAAGTAGGCAGAGAGGCAGGGAGAGAGAGAGGAGGAAGCAGGCTTCCCACTGAGCAG